AAGCTGCAGTTCATAAGACTGCACCATCCCTCACACCCTAACACGTGATCCACTCAAACTACGCGTGAAGGGTCGTCGCAAGTAGCACACGACGGTCCCCCAATATACGGTAGATGCGGTTTGCGAGAAATGGGCTCAAATTCCAACGACGAGGCAATATTGTAGCAACGAAGAACTTTTCGGCTCTCTGAGGGGTGATGGTCAAGTTTTCGAGTTGGGCTAGTGCCTCATCTTGTGCACCTGGACCCCACCAGCAGGGAAATGTTCTATTGGCTGTCCGATACTCTACACATATTTATAAAGGTTGCTGTGCGCGACGACATGCAGCGAAACTCTTGATCATTTCATTTGGGAAACCCCAAAAACAAAGGTCACTATTCCCCAAATTCTACTCACGTGTCCCATTGCCTTCATCATGTTTTTGTTGGTGATGAGGTGCCTCACGCACGCACGCCATGGCGCTTGAGGTAGAACCGCCCTGAGGGCCGCCGGTGATCCTTTGTGACCGTCGATGAAGAACGTCACCTCGCCGGACGAAAGATGTCGATGCATGTGCTCGTTCCGGCAAGTCTGCTGGAAGGAATTTGTAGTTCGTCGCAATCTCCTTGTCTGCGAGTACAGTGCTGACGTGGATGATCTTGTTGTTGCTGTCGTGCATGCAGAGGACGTACATGACTCCCTTCCACGAACCCTTGAGGTGGCCAGCGTCCATGGCCATCATCTGTTCAGAACGGCAGGGGCGGAGAATTGGGTATTTCGTAAGAGCAAGATCAAACGGTATTAAGTGCTGGGAGGTCTCGTAAGGCACTACTTGCGTTGCTACCGGAGTGTTGTTTGGGCTCGCCCTCTCTGAATCCCATCACCTGTTTGGGACGCGGGCGCCCATCAACCTGCGAAGCAATGTCGACAAGTACACTTCCAGAAATGCGCTGTAATCGAAGCAAGTCGAGACAAGGGCGAGAGCTGGAGCAACGTGTCATTATACGACGTAGTCTCGGATTCGTGCAAACGGACGGTAGAAAACTACCAAAACGGCAAGAGTGAGAGCTAGCAAACAGGTGAAATGCGATGTGCCGCCAAGGGTAGTAGGAAAGCCTTTTCCGTGGCCGGTATGCTGCTTTCTGTATTGCTGCTGTTGTACGAATCTGTAGCCTTGCACCTGGAACAAAATCCAGCCCTAAAACACACCCCAATTGTACCGATAGTAGGATGAGGTCGCAATGTTACCCAACCCTTGTCGGTTGAAGCGGGCATTCCCCCCGTTTTTTCTCACGTTCTCTTTCTCTGGGTGCCTTCCTTTCCTTTCTGTCGGTTCTTTCAATTGAAATAAATTTTGAAGGGAACAGCATTCCTTGCCCACCGTTCCTCGCACAGATGGAGTTAACCGTTAAACAAGCTACTGCTCGTTTTGAACAACACTGGGAACACGCTGGTTGAGGTACATGCAACCACAGCAATGTCGGTCACAGCATTGCCGTGGTGTTGGAGGTACCACGGTCACAAGCAGCAGCATTATTGTTGACAACGGAAAAGTGCCGAAGGAAGACATACACTCGAACACAGAGGTATTGCCCGTTCGAGACAAAAAGCAGGTAGTAGTCGATTATCCATTACTGCTGACACCACTTCAAACCTCCACCGGATCTCCGTGGTGCAATTGTCCGGCCCCATGTTGCTAGAAAGGGTACACACACGTAGTACACGGCGTACCACGAACAAATGTGGGAACTGCTGTCNCCTCAAATGTCCTCAGAGGTGGGCTACAATACATATGCATAGTAACCGACTTTGCTGGTGAGCTCGAGACATGGCTGGTCGTAATTTCGATTTTGTGTGGCTGGAAAGTCAGCGCGCAATCGATTGTTACCTGAAAATGAAAATCACTTGTGCCTGCGCAAACCTCGCTGCGGGTTTCAGAACAACACTGCTTCTATCCCCCGCGAGTTCATTCATCGACAACAAATGATGTAGAGGGTTCAAGGATGCTGTGTCGTACCGTTCAATCTAAAAGCGCATCGACGTGACCAACGTATTGTTTGTGACTTTTTTAGTGGCTCCCCACGGCTTTCAATGGCCATTGGCGCTCTCCAGGGCTTGAACACATAGTCTACCTAATAGCTTGGTAAATCTCAACGAAAATGAAAAGCCAGCAACGTCTGCATGAGAATCACGAAAGAGATGCACTCGCCTTGGGGACACTGTGCGCGGCGACGTAGGCGGCCTTACCCAGCATCAAGAAGCTCCTGACGAACCGGTTGTCGGGACTCATCTAAAAAGGGAAAACGCGTGCACCCGGGATAACAACCACAGGAAGGTCAGAACCCGAACGACACACTGGGCTGCACGTTGCTCACACATCGCGTGCGGGGATGGATCATTTATTTGGATGGAGACGAGTAAGAAGCGAGGGTAGCCTACAGCAGTNTTGGGGACACTGGCTGTGCGCGGCGACGTAGGCGGCCTTACCCAGCATCATGAAGCTCCTGACGAACCGGTTGTCGGGACTCATCTAAAAAGGGAAAACGCGTGCACCCGGGATAACAACCACAGGAAGGTCAGAACCCGAACGACACACTGGGCTGCACGTTGCTCACACATCGCGTGCGGGGATGGATCATTTATTTGGATGGAGACGAGTAAGAAGCGAGGGTAGCCTACAGCAGTTAGTTGTGCCCAGAGCCTACGGAACGTGACGACGGCACATCTACAACATGCTAGAGGGTACATGTGGTATTGCTGTTGTCTGTAGTCCTTGCCCAACCTTGCACGGCTGCATCACGTGCACAGTGAACAAAAGGGTTCCGATCAAACTCTTACCTCTACGGTGGCGACCGAACCCGGACAATCGCGCTCGATCCTTTCGAAAAGGGATGGAAGACGCGAAATGGCACCCGCTTCATCCTCCTTAGACGCGTTCGCGATGCGCTTCTTCGTTCGTTGTGATTGCCGGTCGGAGACGGTAAACCCCGCGGTCTTCAGAGTCCTCTTGATCGCGGGACCGGCGATCTTGGGGTTGGCCCTAACCAACTGGTCCACCAGGGGTTGTAACACTGCGGTACCACTGCGGGGCTCGTCCGCCGGCCCCCAGCACTGTCGACATGCGAGCCCCCTACCTTGGTGATCTTGAAATCACCCCCCTTCTGTAGGCAGCCCTTAACAACCCAACGTATGCAAGTCTTGCAAACCAGGTGAATTTGCCGACTGCCGGCACCCTTTCCATCCTTCATGGAACGGCAGGTGGCAGAAAGCTCAGCGGCTACGGCGACCTTCGCGGCATGGCGGCTGGAGAATACCTGCCCTGCGGTAACGGGCGCTACCGTGGTGGATAAACCCGCCGTCGCCGCTCCTGCGCTGCCGCTCACTCCTCCTTCCATGATTGATGTCAAGGGCGTGTCTGTGTGTGCTGGTGCTGCCTCTCCCCTCCGCCCGCTCAGCGCAGCGCGACACATTGGCAAATATGTGCATATATATGCATGTCAACCATGCAGGATCGGTCTCGCTTTCATAGCGTGACCCGTGCATCTCGCATATACACTGCAGCATGCAGTCGTCCACGGGGTATCGTACGTGTGTGCATGTTTCCAAACGGAACAGAGTTGTGCTGGGGTATTGCCCGGNCGGAAACTGATTCCTGCCCCGTTGCCATGGTTGTTATTGGGCGGGAAGAGTCGCCGTTTGGTATCCCATGGTTGGAGGGGAAAAGGATTTGGGAAGGTTCCTGCGGGGGAAATGATTGATGAAAGGGTACCCTACACAGGTCCGTTCTGTAGGGTACTCACAGATCGGTACCGGCGGTATTTT